CCGAGTTGTCCCGGGTCTAGATACGCCCGGGATGCAGCCCGCCCGGCTGGGCTTGCCACCCTGTGTGCAAAGGAGAGGCGTGCGGGGTGCGGGGTGCGGGGAAGGAGCTGCGGGCCGCGCGCAGCGCCCAGTGGCCTTCAACAAGTGATTGTAACAATAACCATGGCGACCACTTGTAGAGCTGACCACGTGCAGGAGCTGCTTTAAGCGTTTTATAGGAAGACCTAGTACTACTTTAAAAAAAAACCACCAAACACACACCATTTTTAAAAATTGATTTCAGAGAGGAAGGGAGAGAAACATCAATAATGAGAGTCATTGACTGGCTGCCTCCTGCACGCCCGCTACTGGAGGTCAAGCCCACAACCTGGGCCTGTGCCCTGATGGGGAGTTGAACCCAGGACCCTTCAGTCCGCAGACTGAGCCAAGCCGGCTCGGGCCTGAGTGCCACTTTTTTGCATGGACTGTTGGTGGAGCAGAATGGGGGTCAGAGAGCAGCAGAACACGCCTGGAATGACCCCCTGGAAGAGCAGTTCCCTCATCAGTGGGCACATTCCTGGGAGATTTAGCCAATCCCGAGGGTCCTCTCCTCCAGGAAGCCCTCCTAGATGTGCTGGTGGAAGCACAGGCCACTCCAGGTTCAGTGCTTGCTTCACATATTTCGAATTCTTTCACCTTAAGAGGTTAGAGGCAAGAGGGAGAAACTGAAGGCCAGAGGGGGCCAAGTTAGGACTACCTGGGCAGCCAGGGGCAGCATGGACAGGAACAAGAGGCCCGACTCACTCCTTGCTGGGCCCCTGCCACCTTCACCCCTAGACTTCTTTCCATCAACCTTTCCAGCTGGCTTGGGAGTTGAGGGGCCCTCTGGTGTTGAGGAGGGGCCAGGCCCTTTGTTGGGGCTGGGGGGAAGTTTGTGGGGCCCAGAGAGGGTGTAGGACTTGACCAGTTGAGGACTTGACCAATCTGGAGCCCCTGGACCTTGGGAAGACAGACTCTGTCCCCATCCCCACCCCCATCCCCATCCCCATCCCCATCCCCATCCTTCTGTCCTCTGGACCTTGGGAAGACAGACTCTGTCCCCATCCCCACCCCCATCCCCATCCCCATCCCCATCCCCATCCTGTTCTGTCCTCTTGGCTTCTTAGGCAGCCCCTCTACACTGGCCTTTTCTCCTGCCCCGTCCATCCTACCACTGAGCGGACATTTCCTGTATCTGCTACCTGCATACCAGGCACCCCACCTGATGCAGGAGATGGGGAGCCAAAAGACCCAGGTTCGTGAGGTCCAGAAGGTCGTTTGGGGGAGCAAGGCGGGGGTCTGTGGCAAAGGGGCATTTGTCTTCTCAGGTGGGAGGAGATGGAGTTCTGAGGACCCAACATGTCGTCAGATCTTCACTCCAGCCAAAGGGGTCTCGGTGGTCAGGGCATGCTGATCAATGCAGGGAAGAGCCTGCTAGGGAGCAGTGCCCTGGTGGCCACCTGGTGCAGTCGAGGCCAAACCAGCTCTCCCCTTAGTTCCGGAGAACTAAGCTCTAGGGGTTCCTTGGGGCACACTGGGCCCAGGCTGGGGATTGCTCTTCTCCAGGGTAGGTAGTCTGACCCCGGGTACTTTTACTCCAGGGGTGTTGGAGAGACGGGAGAGGACCATCCATGAGCCCGAAGGGAAATCGCCATCCAGGCAAGCCCTGCATTGCGCAGGCTTTGTCTGAGCTGAGAGTGGACACAGAAGGGTCTAGGGGCCCATGGACATCCCAAGAGCCACTGGTAGTGGACACAAAGGGAGAGGTAGACCTCTTATTAGGCTGGGGTCGGAGTGGCGAGTCAGAGGAGGCTTCTTGAAGGCTTTGGAGCCTTGGAGAATCAGAACAAGTGCACAAAGGTTGGGTCAGCGCATTCCAAGGGGCCGGCGTGGAGTGAGCTGTGGTTAGCGCTTAGGCAAAACCTGAGCGATCGACGCGCTCTATTCTCCTTCGCTCAGGTCTGATGCCACTTGCTGCTTTCTCACTGATTGACGTTGAACGCTTCAAGCTTTGCCCGCCCCCTACCGACGGGGCGAGTAGTAGGGGAGAGAGGGGGCGGGCCCCCCTAGAGCAACTCAGCATTGATTGGCTTTCAGGACTTCCGGCTCTCTCATTTTCGTCCTCGGATTGGCTGTGAGAGTCATCTACTCATTGGGCCTGCGCAGTGTAAAACTGACGGAGAGGAGGGGTTGGCGGGCAAGATGGCTGCTGCTGCGGCCGGTGTGGGCCGGCTAGAGGAAGAAGCGTTGCGGCGAAAGGAACGGCTGAAGGCCCTGCGGGAGAAAACCGGGCGCAAGGTGAGGAGTGGGGGGTGAGGGCCGTGGCTGTGGCAGCCAGCGTTCGGAACCGGGGCGAGAGGGCTGGGAACTAGGAAAAGGCCGCCGCCGGGACGCGCA